CGGCGAGGCCCCGGCCGGTGCCTCCACCCCGGAGCAGCCCGGAAGCCCCGAAGGGAGCCTAGGGGCCCGTGTGAGCCCCAAGCAGGGCTGCGCGGAGCGGCCTCCGCTGTGCGGGGGACGGGGGTCGAAAGGGAGGGGGGCGGGCGGCGGGGGGCTGGGGGACACGGGGGGCCCACAGGAGGGCACGGGGGCGGGAGGGGTGCAGGAAGGAAGCGCCACTGCAGAGGAAGGCGGTTGTGGGGCTTGAGCTCTAGGCCTGGGCGCTGTTCCTCAGCTCTTCAGCTCAAGGCCAGCGCTCTACGACTTGAGCCACAGCGCCACTTGCAGTTTTCTGGAGGTTAATTGGAGATAAGAGTCTCCTGGACTAGGGGGTGGGAAGGTGGCTCAGTGGTAGAGCTCTTGCCTTGCATGCCTAAGGCCCTGGGTTCGATTCCTCAGCACCACATAAGCAAAAAGAAAAAAAAGCAGGAAGTGGCGCTGTGGCTCAAGTGGTAGAGTGCTAGCCTTGAGCTGAAGAGCTGAGGGACAGTGCCCAGACCCAGAGTTCAGGCCCCACGACCGGACCCAAAAAACAACAACAAAAAAAGAGTCTCCTGGACTTTCCTGCCTGGGCTGGCTTTGAACAGCGATCCTCAGATCTCAGCCTCCTGAGTAGCTGGGATGACCAGCATGAGCCACCGGCCAGCTCCTCCAGATCTGTGATGATCAGCGGTGCCTCATTAGACACAGGAGTTGTCCCCTTCTCCCTAGGTCAGTTGGCCTGACCCTAACACTTCTTTACTATCACCTGGCCCTGGGGCAGGGGGACCAGATTCTGGCTTGGAGCTGGGGAAGTAGGCACTAGCCCTGTGAACTGGGGGGAAACGGGGTGGCAGCTTACTACCTCTGTTCTGTGCACAGAGCAGCAGCTCAGAGGCCTAATTGGGGGGGGGAGGGGAGGAGGGGGGCGGCGTAGGTGTCAGGCTGAATGGAATGGAGTATCTATAAAAAGTTTATTTCCTGTCAGCCAGGTGAGCATAAAATGGCTAGTTTACATTCCAGGCTGGGGGTAAAGAGCCCCCAATCCCCATCCCCAAGGAGAGGTACTGTCCCTGATCAACACTCTGCTTCTTCCCTCTTCTTCCCTCTCTGAAAAACTGGCCTAGACACAGTGCAGTGCAGCAGGGTTCAAAAGCCAGCACTGGCTCCTGAGCCCTGCTAGCTTTGAAGCTTTTTGTACACCCTGGTGGAGGGGCATGTTGGGTAAGAATTCTGTACAGAAAGCTCAAGATGGCCAGCAAGGCTAGCTGGGGACCCCAGAGTGCAGGCTTGGGGAGGAGGGACTCATTTTCTTCAAGTAGACTTCAAGTAAAGTCCAGGATGGTACTGTGGGCTCCCCTCTCAGGAAGGAGAGATGGCACCTTGAAGCCCAAGCTCTTAGGGTGTCCCCATGGCAGCCAGAGATGATCACAGAGCTGTCTCCTTGGAGACCCTGGCCCCCAGGTGCCTGGGAGGCTTGAAGCTGAGCACTTCTTTGTAAGTGACACCTGCAGAGGAGAGGTAGACAGGACAGTTGGCCTTTGCTTTCACCTGCGGCTAGAAGCCTGCACCTTCCTAATCCTAATTAGGCTGTGCCACTTCGGGGAAGCTGTGCTACAAAGCTGGATTTTTCCCAAGGAAACAGGAGGTGATGAGAACTTGTGTTTCTATGCCCAGAGGTTTCACCACATACTCACCAAGGTCTGTTATAAAAGCAAAAGCCACTGGCTATGGGGGGGGGGGGGAAGGACCACAGAAGATCCTGTGGTTTGTGGCTTTAAAGTTATCTGTTTTGCAGTAGAAGCCTTTCCTCTCACAGAACCAAACTCATGATCTATGACACAGCAATTAGGGTAGAACGCCCGCTGGGGGGAGCCACGCAGTCTGGCAGCCCTAAGGAATGCCGGTTTGAGAGCCTCACCTCCCCCAGCCTTCCTACTCGGAGGGTACAGGGTCAAGGACCTGGAGATGGGCAGACAAGACCTGAGACTCAGTGTCACTCCTCAAGCTGCCCTGTTATTCTGGAGCAGAGACGGAAGAAAACAGCTCCATGTCAGAGCTCAAAGGGAGGCCGGCCCTTGAGGATGAAGAGGAGTTGGGCCTAGACGTGGTAGGATTACACACCTGTTGTCCCAGCACCTCAGGAGGCTGAAGCAGGAATGTTTTGAGGCCAGCCTTGTATTTAGAGTTTGAAGTCAGTTTGGGCTACACAGTAAGTCTGAGACCAACCTCAGTTACATAGGTAATCCCAGTGTCAGGAGCTACAAACAGTCAGGCACTAGAGGCTGAAGCCAGCTGGAGCAGGAAAGTCTGTGAGACTTTTGTTGTTGTTGTCAGTCATGGGGCTTGAACTCAGGGCCTGGGTGTTGTCCCTGAGCTTTTCTGCTTAAGGCTAGTGCTCTACCACTTTGAGCCACAGTGTCACTTCCGGGTTTCTGGTGGTTAATTGGAGATAAGATTCCTGCCCAGGCTAGCTTTGAACCATGATCCTCAGATCTCAGCCTGAGCAGCTAAGATTAGAAGCATGAGCTATCAGCACCTGATGATCTGTGGCTCAAGTAATATAGCATAAGCCAGAGCAAAAGAAAGCCCAGGGATAGCATCCAGGCTCTGAGTTCAAACCCCAGGACCCTCACAAGAACAAACAATAAAAGATGAAGGAAGGCCCCTCGGGATGATGGAACAGCAAGCCAGGTCCCAGAGGTGTGAAGAGCAGCCATTTGGGGGACTTGAATCCTTGCTGGTATAGGCAGGGAGAACAAATCCCAGGGCTGCGCGGGCTGGGCTGTCCCCTGTAGGCAGGACATCACGGGGGAGCATTTGGCTAGATCAGGTCTCTGGCCTGGACGTAGGGAAGGCTGGGCATCACAGGAAGGGAGTAGCAGATGGGAGGCCAGGAGTGGCCAGCACTGGTGCACAGAGCTCAGAGCTGCAGCACGAAGTTCCCACCTGCTTCCATGGCCAAGCCTCAATCTCAGACCCCCTCCAGTCACCTTGTCCTCCTCACCTACCCAACAACCCCAGGCAGGAAGTCACTGACTGGACATGTGGGGTCCGGACCTGGCGCCCCCTACTCACGCTTCCACTCCTCAAGGGTGCGGTCCACGTCATCGAAGGAGTCATCGTACTTCAAGGCCTTGGGCTCATCCTCTGTGTCCTGCAGAGACTCAAAGTAGGGATGGGCCAGGGCCTCCACTGCAGTTACCCGCTGCTCGGCATCCAGCACCAGCATTTTCTCCAGGAGATCCACAGCTGGGGGGCGGGGAGGGGGGCACATCAGACCAGGCCACAGGAAGGCCCAGACCCCCAGCTGCCTGGCCATACCCTTAGGGCTTGCATTGGTCAGGACAGAGGCAAAATCCTTCTTCTCTAGCTCAGGAAGACCCTTCATGTAGTTCTTAGCCTATGAGAGAAGCAGGGTGAAGGAACAGGACAGCCCCCAGGCCTGGGCCAAGCTGCCCACCCAGCTGCCCACAGACCTCGTCACTCTGCAGCTTCTGCACGAACTCAGCAGGGGGTGTCCCTGTCACCTTCATGATCTCCTTCAGCTGGTCCAGGTCTACACCAAGGTCAGGAGCATAGCGCAGGGCCAGAGGGAGGGAACTGACTCACCACCCACCACCTAGGCATGAGCCCCTCGCCGAACCACGTGTGAGGATACGATCACTGCCCTTGAACAGTATCTTCCCGGTAATCATCTCCGCCATAATGCAGCCCACTGACCAGATGTCCACTGAGACAAGATCCATCAGTGCCCATGGGTGGAGGTGACCCACGAGTGCCCACACATGCGCATACACACACACACACACACACAGAGCAACTCAGGGTGATGAGGATGCAGACATGGGAAAGGAGAGGGCACCCAGTGGAGAAACACAGAAGAGAGGTGCATACAGGCCTGGGGGAAGAGACTAGAGGGGGCTCCACCTACCACATCCTCCCTCAGCTCCCACCCCAGCTCCACCACCTCTCTGGGGACAGTCTTCATGAGGCTCCCTGTCAAAGACTGAGAAGGGCTGGGTTGTGACAGTGTAGGCCACTCGCTTAGCCCGAGTGAGACCCTGGGTTAAATCCCTAGCACTGAAAAGGAAAAATAACAGAAAGCCAGGTGCTGGTGGCTTGCATCTATAATCTTAGCTACTCAGGAGGCTTAAATCTGAGGATCACAGTTCAAAGCCAGCCCCGTCAGAAAAGTGCAGGAGACGCTTATCTCCATTTAACCAGCAATAATCTGGAAGTAGAGGTGTGGCTCAAGTGGTAGAGTGTCAACCTTGAGCAGAAAAAGCTAAGAGACTTCAAGACTATGACTTTAAGCCCCAATACAAAAAAAGTAATTTGATTAAAGATAGAGGAGCTGGTGCAGGTGGCTCACTCACATCCATAATCCTTCTCGGGAAGCTGAGATATGAGGATCATGGCTTGAAGCCAGCCCAGGGCAGGAAAATCTATGAGACTCTTATTTTCACTAAACTACCCCCAAAAAAGTTGGAAATGGAGCTGTGGCTCAAGTGGTAGAGTACTAACCTAGTACAAAATAAGCTCAGGGACAGAGCCCAGGCTCTGAGTTCAAGCCCCAGGACTGGCACAAAATAAATATAAATAAGCGAGTGAATGAATGAATGGAAGGAGACAGGTGCAGCATGAGTGTCCTTGAGCCTCTGGGGTGGGCTCTGCTTCTCACCTGTCTGTGTGTAGCGCATCCAATTCAAGATGACCTCAGGTGCCCGGTACCACCGAGTTACCACATATCCTGTCATCTCACTGTCTGCCTGTCTAGCCAAGCCAAAGTCCAGGATCTGAGAGAAACGTTGAGAGGAGGACTGAGGGGACCCTGAGGAGTGAGCAGGTCTGCGGTTTCCAGGAGACCTGGGGTTGGCTCCAAAGCACCTACACTGGGGCATCCACCACCCTGCCAAGGCTAAGGACCAGCCCACCTCAGGAGCTGGCACCTGGGATTCTTTCCACTCAGCCGCTTCCTGCTCACTCTGGGGGACAGCCAAACCCTGCTCTGGGCCAGCGTGGCGCGTGCTTGATGCCATCCCCACCAGCACCCCCAAGAGCACATCAGCTGCGCAGTCACTGTCTAGACACCGCAGCTCTGGGCCACCTCCAGGGCCTGAGGACACCAGGGTAGTAGACAGATGGTGAGGGGCTGCTGAGCCAGACGTGAGCTGTCCTCCCCGTCCAGCCTTACCTTCAGTTCACAGTCTTCGTTCACAGCCAGGTTGCCAGGCTTGAGGTCCTGGGGTAGAGAAAAGGAAGAATGGTGTCCTGCCTGCTGGGGGGGGCGTGCCACTGTGTCCTGCCTGCCTGGGGTGTGCCAAGGCAGCACTGTTAAGGATGCCAGTCTGGGTCTGAACTGAGTCCTTGCCTCCGAAGCCCTCCAGTGAGAGTAGATGGGCTATGTGAGGGCAGGCTCCGGCAGGGCTGTGTGGGGGGTGTTGCTGGCATACACACACACACACACACACACACATCCCACAGGAGACTCGATCCTTCCCCCTTACAAGGCTGGACCTGGATCTGAGTGCCCCTCCTGCTCACATGGCGGGCAGAGGCATGGGTGAGGGGTTGCCCATTCCCACCAGAACTTACCCTATGGATGACACCAGTGGCATGGATATACTGTAGGAGAGAGGGGGATTGGCTACTGTCAGCGCAAGTCCCTCCAAGCCAGAAGCTGTACCCTGCCATCCGGGCGTTGCTGACCTCCCCACGGCCACCTCAGCAGGCCCCACCTTCAGCCCTTTCAGCATCTGATAAACAAGGAACTGGATTCTGTCCTCACTCAGAGTCTCATGCTTCATGAGCTTGCCCAGGTCGGTACCCATGAACGGCATTACCAGGTAGCTGTGGGAGCAGGGTCAGGTAGAGTCAGCAGGACAAGGCCGGCCCCTGGATCTGTGCCGGGGCTCACTGGCTGTGGCCCAAACCCTGCAAGACCTTGCCCAGACGGGGACCCCTGGGGTGTCACCCATTGTATCCTCTCCACTAGCCCCTGGAACCTACCGTCTCCCCCACTGAACCACTGCCCCCACTGTGGCCTGCAGCCAACACATGCCCACATCTCTGTCCCACCCCTCCAGTTCAGAATGGAAGGTGGGAGGGGGCTCCACACCGGAAGGAAGGGCACTGTGTGCCCGATGAGGGCTGGCAGCAGGATGTGAGCTTCACGGGCAAGGGGAGCGGGAGTCTGGGGCGGGGCAGTCAAGGCTGGGTGGGTGCAGAGAGGGAAGGGGCATCAGCACCTCCAGAGGGCACTGGGACGCAGAGGCTGCTTTCTGCTCCAGCCCTTCCCTGCTTGCCCCTTGTCTCTGGCTATCTGTAGTGTGAGCCTTGGACTAGTCACCTGTCAGACAGGCTGGGAGGGGGTTAGGGGTGGGGTAGGTCCTCCCTGCTGCCTCTTACCCCATCTGTCAGCAAAGGCCAGTGGCTCTGATTCTGGGCCACACACTGGTGTCAAGGTCTGTGCAAGACCCGCCTGTTCACATCCCACATCCCAGGTTCGTACCTCAGTCAACTTGACGGCTCAGGTGCCTGGGCCTCAAAGGAGGAGGCGGCCCTGGCTCTCCCTAGGAGTGCCAGTGCCCACGGGTTCCACGAGCAATGGGAGGGTGAAGAGAGGGAGCAATGTACCTCTGGGTCCCCACCCACCCAGGGTTTGGGGAGAGAGCCTGGAGTCAGCCTGGGACCAAAATCTGGTACCCAGGAGCCCCGCAGGCTGCCACGCCCGCCTGGCCAGCTAGCCAGCACTCACAAGTCTGTGAAGTCCTCCAGGGTCTCGTCAGGAGTGAACACATCCAACAGCCCGATCACCTGGGGGACAGAGTGCCAGGAGGGATGGACACACACAGATGACATGGGACTCAGCACCCCAAAGGTGGCCCAGTGCTCCACACAGGAAACCCTGTCCTCATCTCCCCCGTGTGCCCACGGCAGCCCCGCCCGGCTCTGCTACACTTGCCTGCAGACACAGGCTATTTCTGGATGGTGACAGCAGGGATCCTCTGGGGGAGGGGCAGCCCAGTCCGGGCTGCCTCCCGTGTCCAAGCACTAGAGACCTTTGGTCCTCCCTCCCCCACATTTCCTTTTCCCTAATCAAGCAAGTCTTGGATTCAAGTCCACACAGCCCCTGGAAACAGCCAACATCTGGTCAGTCCTTACTGGGACCATGCCTCAGCTGTCTAGAGCATGAGCTTGCACTGTGATGGCAGACTTGATCTCCACACCGCTCTGGTTAAGGGAAATGGACAGATGGACAGTGTGACAGTGGCGGTCCGGCATGTGGGAATGACAGGCCCTTCAGGGGCCCATGAAGGTTTCCACAAGGACAGTTGGAAATCCAAGCAGCTAGAGGAACAGGTAAACGTTTCAACAGAGGCCAGGTAAATGACTGAAACAGAAGGAAGAATACTCCCATAGCTTAGGTAACACCTGGCCTCTGCCAAGTGGCTGTGGTCCAGGCCAAGGGGTGGGGGGAGTAAGAGCCTCCTGCTGGGGCTTGCGCTCTCATACCCGAGGAAGGTTGGTCTGTGACCCGTTAAGCCTGTGCGGAAGAGCTTGAGCAGCGGTGTGATACTGAGCCTGTCCTCAAGACTGCAGTACAGGGATGGAGTGGAGTGAGGCCTGAGGCAGAGGGGCAGGTAGGTGACCACTGCAGTCAAGGCCAGAGCTACGGCCAGGAGCATGGCCAGGGGAAGAGAAAGGCCTGGGCACAGGGGAGTCACTCAACCAAGTGGGCAGGGGTCATTATCCTAGATGTAGAGGTAGCGTGTGCAGAGCAGGGGGCTGGGGTTTGAGGAAAGGGAGAGGCCTGAAGCGGCTGGGGGGACACAGGGAGCCGTGCTGGGACTGCGTCCGTTCCCTGTCCCCATCAAGAAGGCCTCCCAGCCCCTTCCAGCCTCTTTCCTCACAAAACACAACTTAGAACTGGCAGTGCCTCCCAACTTGTGTTGGGGGCATCTTGGCGGCAGCAGTGCCCAGCTGTGGAGAGGCCAGGGCCTGCAGGGCAGAGTAGATTCCCTGGCATGTAAGTCAGGGTGGGAGGTGAAGCTGGTTGCTGAGGGCTCATGCTTATCATCCTACTCAGGAGGTTGAGGTCCACAGCATCAAGGTCCAAAGTCAGTTTGGGCAGAAGAATCTATGAAACTGTCTCCAAAATCACCAAGCAAAAATCAGGACTGGAGGCATGGCCCAAGTGATAGAGTATTAACCAAGAAAGCAAGCAAGCAAGCTAAGGATGCACCAGGCCAAACTCCAGTAATGAGAAAGAGAGACAGACAGAAAGACAGAGAGATGGGAGCAAAACAAGGATTGAAGGAAGCTACACTCATGGGAATGAAACAGGTTCAGCCCAGGTTGGGCAGACATGCAGAGCCTGCAAGAAGAAAGGATCTACCAGAGCACCAAGTCTGGCAGTGACTGAGTCAAGGAGGTCTGCTTGCTGGCACACACAAGGACCTGGTTCTCCTAGAGGTCTGGTGGTTAGGATGACCCAGAAGGATAAGAACATGTCAGGCAGGGTGGGGTGGAGATGCTGGAGCAGGGGCTTGGGGTGGGGGTTTAAACTTTCCCCAGGCCATTAGCATAGAGCCTCATACCACCCTGGCCAGAGGCAGACTCTGGAACAAGATTTGGAGTTGCTCACGGCCCAAGTAACACTGTCCACCACCTGAGCAGCAGAATCAGGTGAGCTGAGGGGGAGGGACCGGACGTGGGGTACAAAGGAGGGTCTCCTAGAAAGGGGCATGTCTGTGCCCCTTCCTCCAGGAACACTGCTTTGACCATCAGCCTCACAGCTTTGGGGCCTAGGGGTGGGGGGAGTGACCTAGACAGGGGGGCCGGGAGGAAGCAGCAGCTGGGTGGGACTTGTCGGGGAGGGGAGGGCTGGGAAGAGGAGGGGAGGGAGAAGGACTGAGGAGGGGAGGGTTGGGGAGGGGAGAGGAGGGACAGGAAGAGGTGGGGAAGGGGAGGCTGAGGAGGGGAGGGCCGGGCAGCCGCTGACCGCAGACTCACGTTCTCGTGCCGCATGTGCTTGAGCAGCCGCAGCTCGCGGTAAGCGCGCTTGGCGAACAGCTCGGACTGGAAAGGCCGGTACAGCTTCTTGATGGCCACCCTGGAGCCCGTGCGGCTGTCCACCGCGGAGCTGCGGGGCGCCCGGCTTAGCGGCGGGGCCTGATCCAGGCCTCCCGCCCCGAGCCCCGCCG